CCCCCTCCCCCTCCCCTCTCTCCCCCTCCCTGGTCGTCTCCCTCCTGGCAGCCTACGGCCGCATGCGGTTCCCACACCCACAGCTTTTCCAAGCCGCCACAGCCGTGCTGGTGGAATCGCTGGCTCAGAGTGAAGGGGCTGGGACCACCGTGTCCCTGCCCCTCACGCACTATGCCGTGGCTGTGGAGGCGTGCCGCTCTGTGGACTACTGGGACCAGAACGACAAGGCTAACAATCTCATGACGCGACTTCTCGAGCACCAGGCAGCCTTGTTCCATCATGGGGGAGACGAGGAGGGTGCTGCCAGCGGTGCAGCACCACCATCGGCCTCTTCTTCTTTGTCCCTTTCTTCTCTGGGTTCGCTGCCTGTGGGTCGGCTGCTCGACACGGCGGGTGGACTGCGGGGCGTCGACAGGCTGGTGGGCAGCTGTGTGGCTGCTGTGATGAGGGGTGGTGGTGACGGTGAGGGGCCGCCATGGTGGTCGGGGATGGCTGACAAGGCTGTTGATTGGGTGGGGAGCCTGGCCTACGCCGCTGCACGCATCGACCACACGGTATGGTGGGGGCAGGGAGGGAGGGATGGGTGTGTGAGGGCCAGACAGGCCTTGGATGGCATCGATGGATGGATCGCTGGATTTTTCTGCTCTCTCTCCTTGTGTGTATCTGTGTCTATGGCAGGGTGGGCAGCGTGTGCGTGACGGCAAGACGGCCCGCGAAGAACTGGAGGCACGACACAGTCAGACCAGACAACACACACACACACACACGCACACCTACGCCCTCGCTCAGCGGCAGGCAGTGTCTTGACCGCGCTGGTTGGTGTTGGTTCAGGTGTGGCTTTCCAGCTGCTGTGTCTTCACCACCTGGCCCGCCCCATCCACACCCTTGCAAACGGCAACCGCACCTCCGCATGGCGGCTCCTCCTGGCAACCAAGGTCGGGGCCTGGAAGGGGGGGCCGCTCTCTGAGACAGACAACCACCTCTTGTGTGTGTGTGTCAGTCCCTACTGACGACCCCAATCCCCCATCCCCATGGCCCCACTAGACAGCGCCCGAGCCCCAGAGCAGACGACAGCAGTGGACCACCCTGTGGGGCAGCATTCGAGCGCACCAAAGAGGTGGATGACGTCAAGCGGACGGTGCGGAAGGGCAGCAGCAATAGCGGCGGGAGTGGTGAACATGTGGCGGTGAGCGGCCCGGTGTGGGTGGTGGGCGAGGCGGGCCTCGCTGTCGATGTCATGCTGAGAGAGTGGCAGGGGGAGAGGGAGAGGGAGAGAGACGGGGAGGGGGAGGGGGAATCGGGCAGGGCGGATGATGCACGAGAATCGGCGACCACGTTCAGGCTGTTCTGACTCACTGACTTGACGTGTGGTGTGGTGTGGTGTGGTGGGTGTGGTGTGTATATCCAGGGTGCGAATCGAATCGTGGAGGGACAAAGCGTATATGTGTGTGGGGGGGGTGGGGGGACTGCCATGGTGGCCATGCAATGCATTCACAGTAAATAAAGCCACGAGTCAGTCAGTCAGTCAGTGTCTGTCTGCCTGTCTGGTGAGATGATCCACATCACCTGTGGTCCAAGAGCACCAAGCAAGACAACACAATGAATGCAGCCGCTCTCAACTCACGCAATCACCCCACACGACCCCTCCCCGGAGCAGAACACACAAAACAGCTGAAGAGGCACCTCAATCAATCGGCCGCAAGACAGTCTAGCTGCCTAGGTTTGTGTCTACTCTACGTGGCTGTCTGTTCGTGTGCTATCTATCTGTAGTGTTTGCTCTGCATGGCGAGCACCCGGGCGGCGATCCAGTCCATGCCCTCCTTCAGACCCTCACCGCTCAGCGCACAACACGCCTGCAGCCAGCCAGCCAGCCAGCCACATACCCAAAGAGAGCACACCACCCATTCCATTGCCTCTCTGTGTGTTTCCGTGTGTGTCAGGTCTGCGTCATAAATGCGCTTAGTCACTCACCTGTATGTGCCAGTCGTGGTCTCGTACTGAGTGCAGGTTGAGGTCTTCACAGATCTGGCCGGCCGTCCTCGCACCCTGGATGTCCTGCTTGTTCGCAAACACCAACAGACACGACTTCTTCAACGTCTGACAACCAACCCCCACACACAGACAGAGAGGCATTCATGTCAGGCAGACAGACAATGGAATGGACGTGTCGCCGGATGGGTGGGTGGACGGATGTCTGTCTGTCGGTGAGTGTGGGTGTGGGTGTGTGCGTCCTTACGTCGTTGAGAAGCACGTTGAAGAGTTCCATTTTGGCGACCACCATGTTCTCCTGGTCGTTGCTGTCCACCACAAACACTATCGCCTACACACACACAGAGAGAGATGAGCGTATGACGTGTGTGATGTGTCAGCTCTTACAGCAGCGCTTGTGAAGTATGTGGTCCAGGTGGCGCGGAGGTTCTCCTGACCGCCGAGGTCCCACACCTGTCTCACACACACACACACACACACGCACACGCAGAGGCCCTATCGTCCATCCATCCCTGTGGTCTCAGGGGGGGGTGTGTGACATTCATTCTACCTGGAATCGAATCTTGTTGTGTACGACTTCCTCCACGTTGCTGCCGATGGTCGGCTGCGTCATCACTACCTGGCCCAGATGACTGCACTCAAACAGACAGACGGACGCATGAGCAACCATCACCATCGCACTCCACGAGCCGCTGAGATCTTTCTCTATTCTCTCTTTCGCTGTCATTGGCTGCCTTAGTTGTGTGTGAGCCAATGGCGCAGCCTACAGTTTGTAGAGGATGGTGGTCTTTCCGGCGTTGTTGAGTCCGACGATGACAATCTTGACGTCTTCGCGGCTGTGGAAGAGAGTCTGCCATAGCTTGGACACCAGCAGGCCCATCACATACAGATCCCATCACGCATCACTCACCACACACACTTATCCACCTTTTCCGCTTCCTCTCCTCCCTTCTCGGCCGCTTGCGCGCTTCATGTTGTGGATCGTCGGCCCCTCGGGTGGAAAGAGAGAGCAAAATTCGGTGTTGCGAGGCGTCACGATGCTCACATCAGCATAGCCTGTCGACGTGGAGGGAAATTACCGATCCATGCCGCAGTTCATGGAGATCTCTTCTGCGGCGGGTGTGCAACGATGGCGTGCAGCTGGTGGGAGGCCTCGGCGCATCCGTAAGCCCACCGGTATACGCAGGCAGACACACCTCTCTTCCTTGTTGTGTCTTCCTTCCCTTCAGATGTAGAAAGATGCCATCTGCCATCTCTGCTGCCTTGGTGATCTGGCTGCTGCTGCTGCTGCTTGTCGTCTGGGTGGTGCCTTCTGTGTGCGGCCAGCCAGTGGAGCGTCCCGGTAGTCGTGCCAGTGGTGGTACAGGTGGTGGTAAGGGTAAGGGCGGGCGTCCTACTGCGTTGCCTCCTATCCTGCCGACTGTAGGTGGCCACGCAGAGCACACAGAAGATATGCCCAGGATCGCGGATGGCTGCATCATGTGTGTGTGTGTTTGTGTGGATGTGTTTGTGTGGATGGATGGATGGATGCAGCTGATCCTGCTGAACCGCGGGCATAGGAATCGTTCCAATGCGCGATGCCTACCCGTGGCCACTATAGTGAGCGGAGCGATACACCAATTCCACACATCACACACACACACACACACACACACAACTATATGTTTGTTGTGTGTTGGAACGGTTGGGTGCATTGCAGCCGTTGTACACGAATGACCGGGTAACCGACGGGCCCTGGGCCTTCAACTGGTGCCGAGCCGACCACTTCGTCGCGTCAGTGACAACACGCGCACACGCACAGCGCACAGCACAGTACTGCGAGGGACCCACTTCATTGTGTGTGCAGTCGCTTGAGCAGCTTCGAAGGAGGTGGTGCAGGCGCCTTCCTTGACCGCGGTAACCCCGATCGAAGGAAAAATGCTGAGGCGGAGAGACTGCAGCGGCAACGACAGCAGGAGAGGGCTGAACAGGACCAACGAACCATTAGGCAGAGGCAAAGGGATGCCGGCGGATCACTGCGGCGCCGCCGATGAGGTGCTGCCAGCGGTGCCAACCAGAGCCCCTAGGATGGATGACCTTAGAGTGGCCGTGTTTATCTTTTTTCGCTTCGTTTCCGCGCACTGGTCATGACTCACATGATGCGCATGGGTCGACCGATTTATGGTGAGGGGAGGGAGGGAGGGAGCAGACAGGGAGGGCACACATGGATGGATGCATGGATGGATGGATGGATGGATGTGTGTGTGCGGCATTCAGTTTGCCGCTATTGAGCCCTCTCTCTCCCCGGCTGTCCGGCTGTGTGCGACCCCTCGCGGAGATGAGATTTTCCCGAGCCGCGAAGGCGCTGACTGGCTCGTGAATGCGGGCGGGAATTGGTCTCAATCGGCCCTTCTTGTGTGTGCCAGGAACGGTGTATACGGCTGTTTGTCCGACATTTCGTGTTGAGTACCGATATATGCGGTGTGCGTGCAGGGCAGTGCATGACAGACCGGACCAGACCCAGTACAGTGAGCACTAGCCATGCATTGGTTGGATACTTATTCTTTTCGTTAGGCTTTCCTTTTCTGAATAATTGCAATACGTGTCAGTCAGTCGTGTCATTCATCTGCCAGCCAGCCTGCCTGCCTGCCTGCCTGCCAAGTATGTGGGTCAGTCATCCTCTCAGAAGAGCCACACGAATACGCATCGCCGCATCGCATCTCTCGCCCGATGATATGACTGACTGACACAAGTGACACACAGCACATCACACCACATCACATCACATCACCCACCAGTGGCCATGACTGAACCCTCAGCGCATCATCACATCCCATCTACCTTCCTCCCCCTTGCCGATTTCCTGCCCCTCCCCCTGTCAGTACCCCCAACACCACCCCTCGCACCGCCCACACCCATATCGGCACCAACAACGTCCTCATACCCGCCCTCCCACGTCGTATCGTCGTAACCCTCCTCCTCTTGACCAATAGGACCCACTCGCGGAGGAGGATGCTCCTCCAACCCCTTTGCACCCACGCCGACACCGACACCGACACTATCATGCACCTTTACATCAGCAGGGCCGAACAGCCTCTGGGGCCGTTTTCTGTGCTTGCGGCCGGCCATTCCGTCCATCATGATGCTGCCCTGTGTCGGCTGGGGGCCTGGGTGTGGGGTGTCGGTGTCTCCCGTCGTCTGTGCTGCTGCCCCTTGCTGTTGCTGCTGCTGCTGTGCCCACGTGCGGATGGCTGACGGCGGGGTGGGTCTGTCCAGGGCTCGGCTGAACTCGCTGTCGCCGAGGCGCCACATGTCGACAATGCTGGGCGTGTGCGAGGGGTCGTCTTCTGCGGGGTCGGGCATCTCCACAGCGGCCCTCCGTGACGATTTGCGGCCGCCAGAGCGGGAGACGACCACCGGAATCTCTCCTGACGCATCCTCACCCCCAACACCACCGCCACCCCCGGCAGCAGCAGCAGCAGCGTACTTGCGTTGTCTGAGAGGAGGCTGCCGCTCCACCCATCCGTCAGCCTCCCCTTCTCCCTCCTCCATCCGCACCAGAGTGTCCTCCTCCTCCTCAGATCGGTTGGCGAGACTCTGCAGCAGGTCCTCGTTAAGCGCCTCGAACGGCTGGAAAGGCGTCATCTCGGCCAGCCGCTTCTCAAGCGCCGACTGCAGGGCCTCGTCGAGGACGCCCAGATTGCGGAGGGCGTGGCGGATGGTGAGGATCTCTAGCCGGGAGAGCTCGTCGATTTGGTGTTTGAGGAAGCGGAGCGAGGCGCTGATGAGCTTGGCGTTGGCGATGTGCAGACGGGCGTAGGAGTAGAGCACCAAACCAAGACCCTGACCTGACAGACACACCCACACCCACACCCACACCCACACACACACACACAGATGTGTGGCTTGGTTTGTGTGGTTCGGTTCGCTCAGTGAGTGACCGGTGAAGAGGGGCAGTTTGTTGAGTATCTCGTTGGCCAGGAGGTGGAACAATATCTCCGACCGGATCATGAGCTTGGCGTAGGCATGGGCAGTAATCGCCATGGCCTGCGGCTCAAACTCACCCAGCCGCTTGGGAATCACACGCGCCACAGCCACAAACAGCTTGACGTCCTGGATCTTCAGACGCGCATACCCATGCACAATGTTGCTCAAAGACTGCGCAGAGAAGTGGTCCAGCAGGGCGTGGATCCGCCGAGCCAGCGCCTTGAAGAGCGCCGCATCGAAGCACTCCACTCTCGCGTAGCCGTTGACCAGCTGCGTGACCGAAACGGGGTTGAGCTCCTCGACATCGCCCGCGACAACGCGCTCGCTGATGGCCTTAAAGAGGGCGGAATGGAACCGATCGAGCCTCGCATATGCGTTGACAATGACGCCCAGCGTCTCGGGTGGGAGCTCGGGCAGCCTCTCAAGCAGCCGCTCGGCCATCCAGTCGAGGAAGGCCTCCTGCCGGATGCCCGCCTTGCCAACCGCATAGGTCACCATCACGTA